ACATCTCCAGAGATGGAGACTCCACACCCTGCAAGACTTGAGCTCATCTGGGACTCCTCAAAAATGAGGACAACACCTCAGTAACTTGTTTGAGTTTATTTACACCCTTGGAAGATCCCAATGATGAATTTTAAACCACTGAACCACCCACTTCTACCATATACATCCAGATCACTAGTGAGGGACAACACAGTCTGGAGAAACAGGACAGTAAAAACCAGTTGTAGGCAGATGTCACCTCTCCATGGCCAAGGATCAACTGGGACCAGCTATTCCACTCAGGACACTTGTCTCGGTCCGTAAAGGTGGTGTTGGATTTCCAGCAGCAGTGTTCATGGTTAAACCAGAAGCCTGCTAAACACACTCCTTCTTTCAAATCTGTCATCCAGTGAGCAGAAATGTCTATCAGTCCTGCTAAGGAGCCTAATTTAAAGGGGAAAATAAATACAGAACATTTAATAATCACTTAAATATCCAAAGGTTACTGTCTGCCCTGGTAAATTTTGATTCACCTACCAAAAAATAGAGCACTACTGATATTTTTGCCTACAATTAACTTTTATTCTATAGAGAGCTACATGGGAAGATTTGCTAAGTATATATCTATATATAAAATAAAAGGTCAGGCAACAAAACATGCCTAATAATATTTGAAAGGCTGACCAAGCACTCAAATTTCTACATCACTAGAAATTAATTCTTCTCCATTAAGCTGAAAGAGCACTTATTAAAAATAACACTAAATATTAAATAGAAGGAGGTAGAAGGGGATGTGTTGCATTTCTGGAGGACACAGACAAAACATGTCACCGGGCTCCAGGGCAAGAGCTGGAATCCAGGAGTTACACTAACAACGTTAAGATTGTGAGAGGAATAACTCTTAAATTTGGAGAAATCATTGCCAATCCCAATTTAAATTAAAGGAAAAATTAATAAAAAAAAGAGGGGAAAGTTATAACCGTGCCAAGTTAAACACAATAAACAAAGAGAGGCAGAACAGAAAAAAATTCAGCTTTTAAAAGAGGAATCTTCAAGTAAATTCTTATTTTTCTGTCAAGAATAACTCCTACAATCCCCCCAAAAATGCTGCAATCAGCTCTATTCTCAATTAAAACCCCACAGCAACACAGCAGCCAGGAACAGAGACCTCTGATCTGGATGGGCAAGCGCTAGCACAAGCTCCAGAGGTAGCAATAAATATTTAGCAAATCTTCCAGTTAATGAGAAACTGGCTAGCAGCTTTCCTCTGTAAATATTAACAGAAGATTTCATTTTCATTCCTCCTGCT